AGGGCTTGGAGCACTCCTGATGTCCCTGACCATGGCAGGGGGTGGCACTGGGTGAGGGTGGGAGGCCCTGGCACAGGGTGCCCAGAGCAGCTGTGGCTGCCCCTGGATCCCTGACAGTGCCCAAGGCCAGGCTGGACAGGGCTTGGAGCACTCCTGATGTCCCTGACCATGGCAGGGGGTGGCACTGGGTGGGTTTTAAGGTCCTTCCAGCCCARTCCTTTCTGGGATTCTGTAAATAAGTGCATGAGCAGCAGGAGCAGTAGGTGCTGCTGCCAAGAACCAGGGGCCAGAGAACCAGCAGGGATGGCAAAGCAGACAGGTTACCAGTACCACTCCTGTATTTYGGATATTCCCACTACCTTGCCGTGGTGAAGGTGCCCACACAGAGTCACATTCCGGATCAGCTCCGAGTTGTCCATCAGATCMGCCAGGAAACTGCAGCAAATGAAACACAAAAGACTGTTGGAGGCTTCTGCTGTGTCTAAGAAAAGCAGGTGCCGCTTCAGCTACACTTTCTATCCAAGGTGCCCCCTGAATCCTCGCCAAACTTTTATCCTGCCAATGCCCTGCGGAGGAAGATTCCCACTTTCCAGATGGGGAGGACAAGAGAGTTGGAGTCCCAGACAGATGGCAGTGGGTGGGAGGATACGGAGCTGGTAAAGCTGCCAGCRTTGGAATATTATTGAATATTTTTCTTCTCTTCTAGTCAGTACTGGAGCAAAAGTCACATCCATATACTCGGATGATGAAGCACTTCCACACTCAAGACATGGCAGGCAGTTAAGTAAATCATGGTGCTGGATAACAAGCACCCCACGGAGCTTTGAAAGCGGCCTGAGGCTCCACAGACCATTAATTCTGATTTTCAAGTCTTAAAACACTGACATTCCACAGACTCAAGGAATTAAGTCTTTTTCAAATCAGTAGCTGAGCTGGGTAATGATGAGCTGGTCACTTCTGGATGGATGCTGGCCAAAAGATAATTGAGTTCCTAAATTACCACCCTAAAAAACTATGGGAGGCTATAAAACATGCAGCCACTGCCACAGGCCTGCAGAGAATAAGTGCTGTCAAATAATCTCCTTTCTTAAACAGATTAAATTTTCACTGATCCAATAGACTTCTTAATGTGAAACGTTTTGATTAAGAGCTAAAAAATACAGCAATCAATACTAACCCCGATTAAAACCTTCCTAATTGGTCTGAAAATAAGGCTAAATGGGAAATCAATASCAAGCTTGAAGGTTTCTGGCTACATCCCACAAGGAATTTCTCTTGGCCTCATCCTAACCATTTATACCAACAAACAGGAGGAAAAGGAATTAATTACAAATGGAATGAGCAGAGCACACAGGGATCAGCAAAGTAGTGGATAATGCAGAGCCCAAGTCAGTGACTGAGCCAAAGCAAGGGCTGAGAAAAATCAGCTGCCCCAGCAGCTCTTGGGCTCTATTCTGGTTTTGTTGAAATCCCCAGGCAGCTGAGGGACACCTGACTGAACACCAGCTCCAGGAACATYCTGTCCCCTCAGGAAAACCAGAGGCTGCTGGATGCCAGGCAGAGGGACTGCTCACCAGCAGGGAACTGCTGCTCAGCCAGAMCTGGTTCTGGATATCCACCTGGAGRTGCACATTTACAACTGGGAAAAGCCCTGAGTGGCCACGAGTGGAGAGATGAGGCCAAGGAGACTCCCACAGCTCCATCTGCTCATCCCAAACAGAGACAACACACACACACTGCACACTCAGGGGCAYGGACCCTCCACCCACCACAGCCGCTGCCAAGGTCAGACCTTTAACAGAAAAAGCAAATTGTGTCTATTCCACAGAAAACTTGTGTGAGATATTACATCTTCATTCTTAAATGCATTTGGTATTTTTTCCAGGAGGTTTTCTCCCAGGCCTGGCATCTCAGGAGCTGCTTTGGGACACAATCAACAGACACAGCAAGCCCAGCACAGCGGCAGTGTCTTGCTGATTGTACAGCACTCTGCACTCACCCAGCAGCACAAAAATTCCCAGTGGAAACTCCACTGGGATAGATGGGATCTAATTTGAGAYGGGGATCAACCCAAAATGACCCACCACACACTGACCATGTGAATATTTAACAGGTTGCCCAGAGAAGCTGTGGCTGTCCCTGGATCCCTGGAAGTGACCAAGGYAAGGTAGGATAGGGCTTAGAGMACCCTGGGATGGTGGGAGGTRTCCTTGCCCATGGTAGGGGCAGAACTGGGTGGTGTTTAAAGTCCCTTCCAACCCAAACCATTCCAAGAATGTTTTATGAGCCATAAGAAGCTGTGGCTATCTTAATCTCAGCCTTCAAGGTGAGATTTCCCTTCTGTGCCCAACCTGCCCTGTGCTGCTGGTGGAGATGGAAAGTGTCTGTGAAATAATTCATCCTTCACTTCCTCTTGTTTTGGGTTCAGAACCTGGGAATGGGCTGCTCTCAGGCCTGTGCTGGGGTCAGTCAGACACCAAGGCAGAGCCCCCAGATCTGCCTCCCCCCAGCCCCACACTCACTCCATCTCATAGACAGTGACAGGCAGCGTCTGCTCCATCAGAGAGAACTTCTTGGTTTTCACAGGTTTAATAATGGGCTCTGAAATGAGAGAAAGAACAAAAAACTGTTCCCAGAGCCCCCAAACCACAAAGATCAGGAATGGCCCCCAGGAATGGGGAGTTTTGCTGACAACCCCACAATTTTCCAGCTGCCAAAYAATCTCAGTTGTTTGCCAATGCAGCTGCACAAGATGGTCACTGCAGGGCCCTTCCAGCTGAACTATTCCAGTATATAGGGATTAAAGGACATGACTTGAATGCATTTACTTTTTCCTTAAACATCTTCCCAGTCTCTGCTGATTCCTGCCCTTCCAAAGCACAAACATTCTTCCAGATGTTTGGACTTGCAAACATCACAAGTGCCCAAATCTGCACACACTAGGTAAAGAGTCCCTGAGGCTGTGAGGGGGCTCCAAAGCATCAGGATGGAAGGGAATAATATCTCCCCTTTCCAAGGATTCCAATTAAGAGCCTTCTCCTCCCTCCACCCTCTCTCAAAGCTCCCTCCCCCCTCACCAGTGAGTGGCTGCGTGTCCTCCTCCTGCACGATGGTCTCCACCTCAGGCCCGTAGACCTCCTCAGCTGTGGGGTAGTACTTCTTGTCCTCGTGCAGCACCACCTCCATGCCAGGGTGCTCCTCATCRTGCTCCCCCATGTCATCATCATCATCATCATCCTCCAGCTGCAAGCAAGGCTCAGCCTCAGCTGCTGCAGAGCCACCCAAGGGGACAGCCCTGGGGTCACCCCTGAGTGAGGGACCCCCAGTGCAGCCCCAGCACCCACAGGGGTGCCCTGGGAGCAGCTCCTGGATGAGCAGCACAGCTCTTCCCACAGCATCTGGATCATGAACAGCCCCTGGACTCGCAGGGACATGGGGACAGGCAGGRACTCACACACAGAACAACCACAGACAGCACAACACAACCCCCACCCCACACAGACCAGGGATCTTGTTCCCCCAAGGTGGAGCCCCCCCTGCTCCCCCCTGCTCCCCTGGTGTYCGTGGGGTCTCACTCTGCCTCCCCYRCRAGGATCCRGCTCCCTATGGCAGCCTCAGCTCCTTCCAGAGGGGCTCCCGAAGGGACAGGGACCCTCCATGGGACTGACACCAAAACCAGCCAAACACAGCCTGAGCTGCAAGAGCTCCCAATCCCACCGCGATCCCAGCAGGAACTCTGTCTCTCCCTTCACCCCACGAGCAGATTCTGCAAATCCTTTAAACACCAAACCCACTCGGACCATCGGGATTCAGATCCCAGCACGGACCAGTCCCACCAGACCCCACACGGGGCAGGAGCAGSCGCGGGGCCGTCCCCGCTCAGGGTYYGCGGGCAGGACGAGCCCCGCCGGCTCCGGGGGWCGCTGCCCCTCCTCCCCTCCACCCCACTCACCTCGTCCAGGTCTTTGGACTCACGGCCCAGCTCGTCGTCGTCATCGTCCGAGTCCAACTCGGGCCCGATGTAGTTCCCAAACTCGTCGTACAGGTCGGTGTCCATGCTGGGGGGCGGGAAGAGGCTCGGTGGGGGCGCAGGGTCCTGGGGCGCTGACCGAGCCCCTCACAGAGCCCCTCACAGAGCCCGCCGCCGTGCCGCGCCACAGACCCCACAGCCCACACACAGACCCCACGGGCCGGACACGGACCCCATTCCCCGCACACGGACCCCATTCCCC